TGTTTTCATGAAACGAAGGAAAAATGTTGGCATGCACTTTTTTTTAAATAAATGAAATGTGACAAGGCTTCACTCCCTTGATTTTTTCGCACTGTATACACACTGTATATTGAAATAAATTTTCATTTAGAGGAGAGGGGAAAAAATTCCAGAAAATATAGAGAAATGAACCGTCCCTAAACTTTCCCCGAATTTTAAAACAAAAACGATTAACTCTGATTAGTTTCGGAAGTTTGACAACAAAACAGAAGATACATAGTTCGCAATGCGAGAATTTTCGGAAAAAGAAACATTTTTATTGCTACAGCTCAGTGATAATGGACATTATTTTTTTAATTCCAGGTCGGGCTATGACCAGAATAAATTCATACAGAAATCCATAAGACAATAAAACAGGCAATTCGAACCGAAGTAATTTTTATTTTTAATTGAATTGGAAAAAGTGAACTAAATAATTATCCGACTTTAATAGAATGAAAAATACTCAAATGAGGCGGTGAGGAATGGAACTACAACGTTAGTTTCGTGAAAAAAATCGATACTAAGTGTGGATTTATGCAACGTCATTTAACATGTATCATGTAACAATTATCAATTAACATTTATCATTAAACAAGTAGCGAAAATGGTACCATATATGCAAACCAAATTAACATTTAAGAAGAAATTATACGCATGCGTACAAGTCAGTCCTCACAACCTAACTCCCGTTTTTTTATGTAAAAAATTACATTCTCAAATGTTATAAACATATAAACATTTGTTTCCTGAAATGGAAGAGGCAGAAGCGCTTTTTGTCCTGATGATGCTGTTGACGGCCCGTTTTTTCCTGTTGAAGTCAAAGAGGAAAAGGAGATGGGCTGTGAAGCCTGTAAATAGGGATAGAAAAGAAAAAGGAATATTTGACAATCTTGTAAAATCAATGATCATGAGGAATTTTTTTTCATACACATCAACAATATCCATAATATCTGATTTTATTTTTTGTCCGATATATTATTTCACACCAACAACACTCACAATCAAACAAAAATAGTGGTGAATGACATTTCATTTTCAGGTTAATATCATTACCGGGCGGACCAATCCGAGATAATTTGCGTACAAGGTTGCGCACAATAGGAAAATCTGGTTCATTCAATGAAAGAAGTTGAAAGTTGGCCAACATTCTACATGTTACATGATAAATGATAATTGTTAAATGTCTGCATAAACACAGTCATTTGAAAATATGAAATTCAACTTATAATTGTTGATTGTAAAATACATGTTAAATGACGCTGCATAAATCCAAACTGAGTTGAATTTAATATTTTCAAATGACTGTGTGTATGCAGATATTTAACAATTATCTTTTATCATGTAACATGTAGAATGTTCGCCAACTTTTAACTTCTTACGCAAATTATATCGGATTGGTCCGCCCGGTAATGATATTAACCTAAAAATTAAATGTCATGCCGTCAACAGCATCATCAGGACAAAAAGCGCTTCTGCCATGCTTCTGCCTATTCCATTTCAGGAAACAAATGTTTATATGTTTATAACATTTGAGAATGTATTATTTTTTTTTTACATAAAAAAACCGGGGTTAGGTTGAAAGGACTGACTTGTGCGCATGCGTATAATTTCTTCTTAAACGATAATTTGGTCTGCATAGATGGTACCATTTTCGCTACTTGTTACATGATAAATGTTAATTGATAATTGTTACATGATACATGTTAAATGACGCTGCATAAATCCACACAATGAGTGCAGTTTTTGATTATGAGCATTTAGAATGCGTAGAGACCACATACAAACCCTGTATTGTACAAAGAATTGATGGAAATAGTACACTCATTTCAACTTCACCAAAATAGAGTCACTGAATCCACAATAATTCATTTTTAAGTGTTCTGTCTGAAAACGAGCAGCACTCAATATGTTTTTAACTAATGACACCATAAAAATGTTGCCAAATACGTCAATTAATATCATGGGGAACAACTTTTGAGGTATTTGTTGTTGTATTATATTCAGCCCCTTTAATCAAAGGTGACCTCAAAAATTCAAAATAGCAACGTACACTTATTTTTATTAATTTTGGATTCCTTAGGTAATTCTAGATGAGTGACATCTAAATTATTTTGGAAAAAATGTGAGGTTTGTAAAATTTCAATAATACTTTTTTCTTAATTTCCTATAATATACCAGGAATATTCTCGAAGAATACCAATAGTTAATGAACGTTCTATGAATGATATTGTGCTATCTGGGATAGTGAGATTTCAAACTATATCATCTGCCATAAAATTCTCATTCCATTTAAGACAATCTTCCAAAATGGCGTCCGGCGCCATTTTGAAAGATACATAGTCTTTATCGAAATCAAAATGAAGCAGGTGACTTATTGGGGTGAAAAGAAAAGACACTTTTCTAAAGAGATTCTATACATCGAAGGCCTTACAGTTCCACATCACACACCCTATAGGTATTATACAAAACAACTACTCCAGAATATTACATGTATGAGATTGTCAAAAACAAAATTCAGATTTCCCTTTTACAGTGTCTTCTGCAGTGGAAATCTTCAGACTCAGAGAGAAATTAGGTCATATGCCTAAAGAAGAACAGACTCGACTGTTTTTCACAAAACCGGCAACCCTTTGAGGACGGTCAATCAATTTACTTTGTTCATTTAGCCTGAATTACAACTAATATAAACAAATAAGGTTTCAGTCATTTTTCGTTTCATAAATAAAAATATCATACAGGGCAATACAAAGTACTGTGAAGAGAGATTCTTTGTTACAACCTTCTTTTGACTCTATATAACAATTAAAAGCTAGTCAGCTGCCTTTTTTGTATAACACGTACACCCTGTATCGTACAAATAATGTATAAAATTATATAAAAAATTTAAATTATACTTCTCTAACATTATTATATACAAAATTTGCAATATACACGTTTCACTACTAGTTTTCAATTACAGAATAATGTTCTTATTATATTTACGATACACTATCTCTAACAGTGAGTGTTAATATTAAATTTTCAATATCCACTTTTAACACTGAAAAATGCAAGAGTATTTCAAGGTTTATCACTTTAGAAACAAGTAAAATCAAGACGTCAACGAACGCTTCAGGGTCTACTCATTATAAGAACAATGTGTCAATGTCAATTTTGGCTCGCAAGGCTCTTATTTCTTTAGGCCGAAAAAGAAAATTTTGACGATGATTTCAATTGTCGAAGAGCTAAAAATCAACTCACAGAAAATGATATTTCTTCTAAATACATTAGATGGAACTAGGTCAAATCATGAGTACAGGTCAATTTATAATGGAATACGATTCTACAGGGTAGTATAAAAAATCGGACACTTCACAATCAATTTTATAACCTTTCTGATTATTTTTCATTCATAGTGAAATCGTCACACCATATTCAAAGAACGTCGTTGGATTTTCGTGCCACCAGTCATTCGTAAAAAATACCTGAATGGCAATTTATTTTCATTACATTCACAGTCTATAAGCAATATCATCATTCGATTCTGAATCAAATTCAAAAGTGTGAATGGGAATGTGAAGCCTATTTATTTATTCACACTTCCATTTCAATAATAAAACTGCACATGAACGTATGTCGTAAACGTAAACTTTTGAGATACAGGGTATCAAAGTTGAAAATATGCATAGATTATTTTTTTGTCCACCCTGTATAGCTTCTCGTGATGAAAAATTCCAAAATGTTACATACCATGGTTATTTATAGAAAATTTGTGTACAGGGTGATCAGTTAAGGGTAGCGAGCGGCCATATCTCATGAGATATTGGTCGTATAGATTTGAGAAAAAAAAAATCGTGATAAAAGTTGCCAAGAGAAATTGCTGGAAATTATTTTCGAGTTTTTTATCAAACGTCCGGTAGAGGGCGTAACAACCAACACCAAGTAGAAAACTAGGATTAATCAATATACCATTACATTTGTTTTTTTCGAAAAAAAGTAAAAAATTTGCTAACACTTCAGTTAACGCCATCTAGCGGCGACAGCAAAAGTCAGAAATTCAAAACCAAATAAGCGTTTTGTAGGGCAAATTATGCTCTTTCATATGAGCCTTAGTTTGCTAAAATCGGTCGAAATAAACGGGAGAAATCTTGGTTTGTTTGAAAAAACAATTGAACTTCCCCCACCGCTTTATTTTGATAGATAGAACAAAACGTTCCAGACAAAAAATGTAGGTAAACGATCAGTAAATATGGAAATGATATCATCGATATACTTTCATTAGGAAAAAATCTATAAAAATCTCATTTTTCTACTTGGTGTTGGTTGTTACGCCCTCTACCGGACGTTTGACAAACTCGAAAATAATTCCCAGCAATTTCTCTTGGCAACTTTTATCACGATTTTCTTTTCTCAATCTATACGACCAATATCTTATGAGATATGGCCGCTCCATACCCTTAACTGATCACCCTGTACATCAGAAAATGCACCTTGATGAATAAAAGACATGAAACAAATTTGGTACAGATGTCTACAATATTATCTCAGTTATTATTAAAAAACTGTTTTTTTTCAAAACTTTATCACCCTGAGGCTTAAAAGTTTAGACTTTCAAGACATACGTTCATAGGAAGTTTTTATCTTGAAATGAGTCAAAGAATCACCTCCTTCAAATATTAGCATGTCTTAAAAGAACACCATGTATATGGAATCTATTGAAGATATCAATAATATTTTGGTTCGAAACGTAAACAAAGTTTCTTGTCTATACTGGCATAAACATCCAACTATGCAAATTGAAAAATAATCACAAAAGCTTAGAAAACAATTTCAAAAGCGTCCGAACCCCGTAATCGCATCTCAGTTTTCTACAAAGTTTCGCCACCCCCCACCAACCAAAACTTAGAAAAAAACAACCTAACATCCCCTGTACTCTGCCCCACAAGTCCTCACAGAAATACCTCACCGTCTGTGCGTTTCTCTTTAGCCCTAACGTAAAGTTACGCATCGCTATAATGATTCTGGTCGCTGACCTGCCGTTTAGCCTTCTTAGGCTTGTCCAACTCCTCCTGCATGTGCCTGAACCTCACGAAGCCTTGCTCGTCCACCAGCATCGAATCGGAAATCTGATGCCGGTCGTGATTAGGCAAGGTTTGCACCCCCAGATGAGGCCTAGGGTGGTTTTTCCTCGCTCTACCAGTGGATCTTCTTCCCGAGGTGTTTGAGCTGTTCCTAGACCTTCTGTCAAAGTCAGAGCGCTCGAATTCATGCCGTGTCCTCTCATACTGATGCCCAGTGGGGTTGTCCACTGGCTCGCTGTAAATGTTCCTCTCAGTGTTATTGCCGCCGAACATATCGTGCTGGTAGTCCTCATTGTTGTACTCCACGTCCAGCTTCGGCTTGTTGTAGTACTTGGCAGCTTCGTAGGTCTTCCTGGCTGATGATCGCTCGTCCCTTAAGCTGTTTTGCACCGAGTTGTGCGCACCTCTTTCGAAGTTGCCCGAGTTAGGTTGCCGCGGGTCGAACCTATCGGAGCCCCATTTGGGCCTCTCGAACCTGTCGAAGTTGCTGCCTCGCTCACTATCGCTTTGGTACCTCTCCAAGGTTGACTTCTTGTCGAAAGAGTCGTTCTGGAAAGCGCTCTTTAGCAAATTCGGACGCTCCACTGCTTCGGTGGGGATGTTATCCATGATCATTTCTTGTCTGCTGTAGTTTAAAGCATTGGGGTTGGTGTTGCAATTCGTAGGGTAGATATTGTCAGTGCTAGAATCGCTGGTCGTGCATGGGAACAATGGGAACCCACCAGCAGACTGTTTTTCCCTCTGCGACATCTTCAAGCTAACCACGATCGCCAGTAAAGTGATTATAGATATCTCTATGAACCTCACTGACAACTCGAAGCTCCAGAGGATCCAGTGATGCTTTATTTCCCTGTTGAAACGATCGATCTTTATGAAGAACAAGGCGTAAACTTGCACCAGTCCCAGTAAAATAAAAAGCAGAGCAACAGCAATTGTAATGTGACTAGCATAAGAAATATTCTGCGTGCACATTTCCGATAAATTCTGACTCTTCTTAGCCAACACGTTTTTGATGATTCTGTAAAGGTAGAGGTAGCTGAAGCCAAGAGCCCACGCTAGAAGAACGAATACCGGCTTGCAAATGGTCAAGCTTGCTTTGTCTAGGTGGCCTAGCGTTTCCACGATACTCAAGCAGAAACAGAGGACGATGTGCAACAGCGCAAACACCACCAGAAACACCGGTCTGGTTTTCACCTCTAGATGAGTCAACGTTCTCTTCAGCAAGAATAATATCAGCACGGCAAAGGTAGTAGCGAGCAAACTCAGAGGGAAGTTGTGCAAAAAGTCATACAGGAAGATGTTGAACGAGTTCCACAAGTTGTAAGGGTCGTAGATGAGGTAGAAGATCCTCAGAACGCATATGACAGTGAGCATGAGATGAATGGTGAGGAAGTAGCTCTTGGAGAACATGTGAGGATCATTCTCGTAACGTATCAGCTTGTATATGGAGAACATCGCCAGCAAAATGTACCCGAATACAACCAGATAGACGTGGACGTTCCAGCAGATCACCCAGATTTCATCCGATTTGGCTATGGTAACGTTCATCTCTCGATTGCCTTCTTTCTCCTTCACGTTGGGTAATTTGACCGCGTCAGAAATTTGGGTAGTCACCTCTTCTGGGTAGTTTATTTTCGTTTCTGGAGCGGGGTTGTCTTTTTTCAGCGTGACACTTTCCGAGCGATCTGGTGGATCAGACTCTGGGATAGCATCCGGTTTCACATAAGTGTCTTCGTTTTTTGGCGCTTCGACTTTAGGTATCTCGGGTATCTTCACCTCTGGTTCGTGTGCGCTGAGATCAACTGCTGGCGTTCTAGTTTTTGGCATTTTAACCTCATGTCGCTGATGAACGTTAGGAGTAGCAGTAACAGTTCTCAACAAAATATCAGGAATATCATCTTGCCTTCCATTAGAACCACTGAGTATGCGTGTAATAGAAGGGACGTAGCTTTTCTCGTACTCAAAGTTACTTTCATTGACGTTCCTATTCAATCCGTGGAACTCTCCGAGCCTCACAGTTTGAGACGGGGTATTGAGCGACTTCTTCTTGTCATGCTTGTTCTCCTGGCTGCTAAAGTTCGGGCTAGGCGGTCGGTATTGTTCGTTCTCATTGGTATCGTTAGGCCTATCGGGCACCACCCTTTCCATATTGACTTTAGGCAAGTCCGGTCTGAAAGGTATCCTGTCCTTGTTCGGCATGAGGCTAGGGGGTGGAATTGGCCTGCGATTGGCAAAGTTTTCTGAATTGGTGCCTCTCAATGTGGGCTTGTCGGCAAAGGGGTTCTGGTACTCAGGCGGTAGTGGGGGAGTGAAGAAAGCTCTGCTAGGAGGCACGTAGCTTGGTGGTTCTTTACCGTACATGGACTTGGTTGGCCTGGCGTTTTTGAGTAGGTTATAAGAGGTTGTTGTGCGGTAAATGTTCTCGGTAACTTCTTCTGGATCATTGTTGGTGGTAAAATCGGGTTTGAGCCTATCGTTGTTGTACCGATTCGGGTTGTTATAGTTTTTGTTGTTGTTGTTCTTGAGGATATCAGCCGCTGGGGCAGAAGTGGGAAGTATGTGATCTTTCTCGAGATCAGCTCCATAGCCGTTGTCGAAATCGCCCCCACTGTCGTTATCGTAAGACGGTTCAAAGTCAGGCCTCCCTACGTCTCTAGTCAAGTCCGAGTTTTTCAAGTCCACCCTAAGCCATTCGTCGTTGCCATTGGAGTAGCGATAGGTAGTCAGTAAAGGAGTGACCAAAGTTGTGACTGGATAAGCGTTATCGGGTATGGAACGCTTGGTGGTGCTACCGTACGCAACTTTGTTGAACACGGCTGCGATGCTCTTCTCCAGGTTGACTTTGTCTAAGAACTGCTCGGTCTTTTGGAATTCATCAGCAAATGCATTCGCTCGCGTGAAAGAAAGAAGCAGGACGATAGCGAGCAAAGCACGATTCCATTGAGGATCCCTTCCAGCAATTGACCAATGACTCTTATATAGGCACATAAATACTCTCATTAAACCTATTACCGATGCTACACAATAAATAAGAGATTCGGTACAGTCTTTTTTATAATATAAACAATCACAGATAACATTGTCGCCGTTGTGGCAACGTTCTAGCTCACTAGGGTCTCTAGGGACATGGCCCGAAGAAGGGGTATCACGTAGAAGGGGAGGTATTCGAATTCGCTCTTGGACAGAGGTTTCCGAATCTCTGTGGGAGTCTTCCATGTTGGCTGGACTCGAGTGAGGACACTGGTCCGATGGCACTGCCAGATCAGTCAGTCTTTTGTAACCTTCTTCCAGGAAGTGTTGGGCGCCGCTTGCTGAGATCATTTTGGCTCCAAGGCCACGTGGGAGTCACGGACTTCTGAGAGCGGTTCCGGTGAGTTAAAGGTGTTCGGTCATGACAAGATGAGAAAGGAGGACCTGGAACAAAAATAAACGTTATTAGTATGAGGAATTGGGAACGAATTGATGCACTTATCAATATGTCAGAAAGAAATTGTAGGGTGATTATTTCATATTTTCTATCCTATAAACTGATAAAGGTTTTCAGGACTTCAGAATATAATATGTCGAATGGGATGTTGTTTTCTGTCCAACGATGTCCTTGAATTTGAATTTTTCCAAATCATATACAGATACCTTGTCATAAGGTCAGATATACTGGAGAATTCAAATTCAAGAGCCACCATTATTGGGATCTCGGAAACTATAGGAGATACGAAGATGGTTAAATTAGGACAAAGTTGCTCATGCAAGTGATTAAAAATATGTCGTCGTGAAAATTTTCTCCCAGTATTTCCGGAGATATACGAAAAAACTGAAATTTTGGTGAATAATTTTATTTTTTTTCTTGCGTTATTTGTTGAAGAATATCAAAATCAATAGCACATTCACATTGCCTCTTTTTCCCTGCTATACGATGACGTATTCAGATTAACTATCCGACGTTTCGTCCTTATGCCACCACCATCATCAATTTTATTTTTTCTCATGGGCGCCATATTGGATTTTCATCAATATTAATAGCATGGTAAATCTGAAAATGTCATCGTATACCAGGAAAGTGAAAATGTGAATTTGTATATTTCAGGAAATACTCGGGAGTTGAAAATTTTCTCGGCGGCATATTTTTAGTCACATAAATGTGCAACTTTGCCCTAATTTCATTATCTTCGACCTTCGTATCTCCTTCAGTTTCAGACATCCCAATGATAGCCCTCGAATTTGTACGAAGTTCAACCAGCGTATTCACGAACATCATACGAGTATACAATCAATCAAACCTCAACAATTCACTGCTTTTGAATTTGTTCTCTTAGTAGGTAATATCATCAGTTCTTTCAAGTTAATCCATCAATTTCAATTTAGATTTTGTACACACTTTTCGAAATGAAAGATTAACTAGCCTGCTCGTAGGTTATTCTAATCCTTTAGATTCGTTAGTTTACAGGGTGGTCCTTATAATTTACATAGAAATATGGCAACTTTTTTCTCAAAAATTTTACGATTTGGGTAAACTTGCCTTGATAATATATTGCTAATTAGGGAGATACAGGGTGTCGTAGGTAAAATTGTAGAATTTATTTTTCTCAATTATTTCGACGTTTTTGAACATGAATACACAATAGATTCGAAACTAGGGGTTTTTGGAAATGATATATCAAAATTTGCCATCTAATTCAATGTTTTCTTCTAGAGGGCGCCACCTACTCCATTTTTGCAGCATAAATAAATAACTTCTATGTTATATCGAAGACTGGAACGATAATACACTTCACTGTTTTACCACTAACCAAACCGATTTTTTAACGCCTCGACACGTGTTTCGCTAACTATGTTAGCATCTTCAGGAGAAGAGAGGGTTTTAATCTTCTCCTGAAGATGCTAACATAGTTAGCGAAACACGTGTCGAGGCGTTAAAAAATCGGTTTGGTTAGTGGTAAAACAGTGTAGTGTAACTTCTATGTTCTTCAAGTTTGCGCTATATTTTCATTGAGGAATATATCAGACCGTCCTCTTCTTTTCACGAAAATCAGTTATACTTGATATCAATATCCGTCGAAATAATCATATTTCAGGATTAGGAACCAGCTGCATATTTACTGATTTTCGAAAGGTTTTCGATGAAGTTGATCACGATGTGCTATCAGCAAAAGTGAGTGAGTTTGATTTTTCTGAAGGCACACTCAGAATGTTCGGAAGTTACCTTGAAAATAGATTTTTAGAAGTCAAGCATAATGGAAATACTTCAGGGAAATTTGAAGCTAATTCTGGAGTACCACAAGGTTCCAATTTAGGACCATTACTTTTTGTTATGTTCATCAATAACTTGCCCTCAGTTCTCAGGTACCCGAGTTGTTCACTATTTGCAGATGATCTGAAGATTTTTGGAGTGGAGCCATAGAAATAAACTATTTTTCAATCCGAGAGAATGCTGTGTCATGAGGATAACAAAGCTGAGAGATCAAATATTTGATTATATGATGCAAAATGAGGAATTGCAGAGTGTTAGGGAGATGAAAGACCTGGGTATTACATATTACATTATGCTATCTTTTTCAAATCACGCATGTGAGAAACATAAGCAAAGCAGCAAACCGTTTGTTTGTCAATGGAAGGATTCTCGTTACACATCATATTATCAACAATTTCAATTGAAATTCAAATCGAAATTGCAATGTATCAAACTCTGAATTATATCTGGTATTAGTTATTAGGCAAAGAATAGTTATTTGTTTAACTAGGCAGCAAAGTAGTAGATTGACTGCCGAGGCTGAATTCATAGCCGAGCGTAGCGAGGCTAGGAATCCAGCTAAGGCAGTCAATCTACTTTGCTGCCGAGTTGAACATATAATTTTTTCTCCGATTGTTCATAATGATATGGGAGAATATTGTATTTGCGAATTAATACAATTCTCACAATCTCTTTATTCTTCCTGTATAGTGTTTACTTAAAATAAATTTTGATAGAAATCGCAGTTGTTGGTTTGACAATTCATGAAACTGACAGCGAAAAAATATCGGTATATTCAAATTATTATATAATGGACAGTGATAGCGACCTGGAAGTATACTTACACCACCATTAATAAGGGAGGTGGCAAAAAATATAGAGTTGAATTTGTTGCCGGAGAAGTCTCGGATGAAATATGAAGGAAATTATAAACGATTTATGGATTTTTAATTTTGCTGATACATATCAATCAGCAAAGTAACCACTTTGCTGCCTAGGCAGCAAAGTACCCACTTTGCTGCCTAGGCAGGAAAAGTAATACTTTGCTGATTGATATGTGTCAGCAAAATTAATATTTGCTGCCAATCGGAGGAAAAATATTTTTTTCTTCCAAGTTTGACACCCTGTATCTCATCATCAATATTTCAACAACGAAAGTTGGCTCAAACCGTGATGTTTTGAAATAAACAACCTACCACACCACAATAATTACTTAAGGACCACCCTGTTTATAAGTTAGGCAAATCAATGTTGGGTTATTTGTATACGAGTATTTTCCTTGCCTTGGAGAAGCTCCTGTGTTGGCGAAACATGTCTTATTTTCAAGAATATAGTAGAAATCTTATATTGTTTGTGAAGGTATTTAAATATACTATAGATTTCCATCAAAATTTGAGCGAAAAATACAGAACCTGATATTTAAGCCTCAGAATCCTGTGCAAGCGTCTTGTATGTACAGACCTTTCAGAAGCGTTCTGTATAAACTAGTATGTTTTCAATACTTTCAAAAGACCTATTGCTGACATAATTTTTTTGGGACAAAAAATAGTTATTTATTATACAAGGGAAAAAAGTTGTAGATTTTAGCTCCAGGTTGTGTTGTCTCCCGACGCGTAGCGGAGGGAGACAAAAAACCGTGAGCTAAAATCTAATATTTTTCCCGTGTATAATACACTATTTTTTTCTGTGACAGAAGGAAGGACGAATCAATATTGAGAAGATATTACATTATTTCGAAATCTGAAAATTATCGACGTGAAATTTCAAGTTTTTAACAGTAGGGACACCTGCGTTTTATAGGCATCTTCATCATTCTTTTGAAGTAATCAAATATCTGATGTCACTACTGTCAGTTCAATTCTGTGATTTGATTTTAAAAAATTGCGATTTCAGTAGTTGTTTAGTAATATACGAAACTGCGAAGTCGAATGGAAGATAAAAGGACTTGCAGTTCTTTCTCGGAGACGGTATTATTGACTAATTTTTCGGAACTATAGCACAACAAAAGCCATTAACAGAGTATATATATGTGATATATATCCGGGAAAGAAGTACTCACTTTTTTCCCACGGGAAAAAAGTAATTTATGAAAAGTGACATTTTATAACCTGCCAACAGAGATGAAATGCCAAACTTTTTTCCCGTCACAGAAAAAATGTTTAAGTTCATGTAACATGTAACAAATATGGAGTTTAGTTTCGAAAGTGAATTTTGTTAAAGATACTTACATCAAGTTTGACCGAATTAGGTAACTCGATTCATTATTGATAACTATGTTGATAATAATTCTTGGTGTATTCTTTCCTGCAGAACAGAAGTACGTTTGCCTACTAAATAATTCAAAAACTTCAATAAGTTTCAACCGAAAGTTGCAAGTAACTTTTATTTGAAAAATGCATCGTGACCTAAATGAGACGAGAGCCGATCTATCATATTATACAGGGTGATCTGGGTGATTTACGTAGGCAACACATTAAAAGTTTTTCAACTTGCAGTTAGATTATAAACCAGAAAATTGGTTTGCTATTGTCCAACAAATAGATACAAGAAAGCATGGGTATGAAATACCAAATCTGTCGAAATCGGAAACAAATAGTGTTGCCGTCTAGACTTATACATTCTAGACTCTTGTCTTGTCTTGTCTAGAATATCAAGACAAGATCATCAACATGTCTTGTCTAGATTATCTAGACAAGACAAGACTTTCCATTTTTCATACAAGACTTTTATTCAAAACTCTTGATTATTTTCAAATCTATATTACAAATACGTCGTTTCGCTGGCGCGGCTATGATTTGTTTTGATTGGTTCCCAGAGAGCGGGAGTTTGCATGCACTTGACTGTTTCTACGCAATTTAAGCTAAGCGTCTTATCTAGAGTTTTGAATAATAATCTAGACTTTTGTTATCTAGACAAGACCGCACTTAGCTTATTTAATCAAGACTTACGCGTATACAACTCTTGTCTTGAAATTTCAAGACAAGACAAGAGTAGGTAAACTCTTGTCTTGTCTTGTCTAGATGGCAACACTAGAAACAAATCAGGTATGCGTCTCAACCCAAATAACCAACCATAACAATGTTGTTTTTCTGCA